GGGGGGGGGGGGGGTCAGGGCAAATATGAATGTGTGCTTTTTGGTCTGGGAGGGGTAATATTTAATTTTTATTGCTAAAAACTATTTTAGAAAACACAATATAATTAATTTTGTAATTGACAGGGCCCCAATTTTTTTAATTTCTATGAACAAAAATAAATAAAATTTGTGGAGGGCCCCCTGTCGATCAGGGGCCCTTGGAATTGTCCTAACTTTCCCCCCATATATGCGCCCCAGATCAGCAGTTCTATTGTTCTTGAGTATGTGCTTAGCAGAATTAACATAAACTTGGCTGAACTCAGCTGCTTTTCATTCTGGTTTGACACTGTCGAATCCTGAACCTTCTGATAACTTTGTCAAGTCCAGGATTCTTCTCCTGTTATAGATTACTGCTGCTGCTGTGGTGAAATAGTCCTTTGTTTTGTCAGACCATCCTACTCAACATTTGAAAACAAGGGCATAAAAAATTATGCTTTACAGTCAAAGTAGATTCAGAGCATTTAGTTAAATGAGGCCTTTACTGCAGGTTTCTACATGAAGCAAGCAAATATACCAACTGCTCTGTAGCAACCAATTCTGCAAACTGGTGAATGTGTGTGCCTCAGTAACTTCCATGATAGTGTGTTTTGCTATTTTTGGACAGTGTTGGAGTCTTTGCTTAAACCAGATATAGGCATAAAGGGGTAGGCCCAGTTGTTTCACTAGGAAACATGTGATTTGTTTCCCTGAGGCACGACTGGTGTGAAGGTTCAGCACTTCTGTCTAACATATCCATTTTAGATATTTCCCTGACCAGTTGCATCCTTCTTATATGTCAAAAAAAAGAAAAAAAGAACTGAATCAGTAGCAGTCAGTTTTGGTGCTGTTATGAGCAAGACCATGAACCCTGAAATGAAGCAAACAGAAGGAAGCAGCAACCATCATGTGATTGGTCATATTCATACCCCAGGCCAAAAGCAGCAGGCGGAAGCATTTTCTGACTCATGAATCAAATCTTATTTTCCTCCTAACATTACTCTTCCAAGATTACACAGCCTCATGCAGTTGTGTAAATTGGTCACAATTTTCCTGTTAAAATAGTCTTCACATATCTATGTCATATCTCTTCATGGATGCCTCAATACAGTGTTTTTCTACTCTTTATAGTCACTCTTGCAACTTTTTTTTTTTTTGCTGTTACTGCAAACATGTGACATAAAAAGGCATAAATAAATAGAAAGTAGCGGTGTGGGAGAACGGTAGACCAGGGATAGCACAACCAAGGAAGGTAGGTGATGTTGGTGGAGCTGTCAGCCTGTTTTAACATCTCAGTCCACAGTATCTCTACATCCTCTCTTTTCCCTTTTTTACTGCCCGTCTTCTTCAATACTCTAAGGTGTCAGCTACATGAAAACTGAGGGGTTGACTGCACTGCTTAACCTGTTAGTGGAAGGCTAGTGAGATGGAGACATCATGTGTACAGTCTTTCAAACAAGCATGCAACAAGCAAGAAGCACAAAACAGTTAAAAATTCCATCTGAGGATAAAATGTCAAACATCCACATTGACTTCAAACATAGATATTTACAAAGAATAAATCAAACACTTTTTAAAAAATTCATTTAGTTTTCAACCAACATATGCAGAATCAGCGTGTTTTAACAACTAGTATACGTGCCATAGCATTAGCTTAATTATGAATACAGAAACACTCAGAGGACAGGAGGCTAAGGTAAGTAAAAAGTTCATTTTTACAAGCAATTGAAGATCTGTGGTTGATCAGAATCAGTTCAATGGAGAAGAAGAGACAACACAATCACCCATGACAGTAATCTCATAATTCTTCACACACATCAACTTCAGTGACATTCCATTCTCAATCATTATGAGATTGGGCCACCCTTGCCAAATGTAGTTGCTTCATCTTTTCTGGAAAGGCTTTTTATGAGGCCACTAAGTTAATTGGAATGTCTAAGGATTTCTCCAGAAGTGCACTTATGAGATCAGGCACTAGTGATGGGCAAGAGGAGCTGACTCAGTTTCTCCACTAATTCATTCCAGTTTTTGTCATGATCTGAGGTGGTGGAGGTGAAGCAAAACACTGGGACCCAGGCAGGTGTAGTGAAAAAGTGAATTTAATAAAGTCCACAGGAACAAAAACAATCAGTCCAGAAGGTAGGCAGCACAGCAGAGCAGAAACCAGGGCTCAACACCGGTAGCAACTACCACACCAGGACTAGAGACAAACTGACATAAGACGATAAACACGACGAGGACCCGACAAGAGACAAAGAACACAGGTGGGTTTAAATAGACAGGGAGTAATCAAGGAACTAAACACAGCTGGGAACAATCAAGGGTGAAGAGACAGGACAGCACAGGGACACCAATCTAAAATAAACACACAGAAAAACTAAAATCCCAACAGTTTTGTTCATTTGAGGTAAAATCAGAACTCTATGCAGGCTAGTCAAGTTTTTGTGAACCAACCTCTCATACATGTCTCTGGTAACCTCCCTTTGAAGGATTTTAGGTTGTCCTAATTGGAGGAGACCCCAAGGAAGACCCAGAACTCACTGCAGGGACAATATATCCGTTCAGGCCTACAAATAATTCTAACGTAGGAATAGAATGAAGAATGTTGCCAGGGAAGGAAATGCGTAGGCTTCCCTCCTGGAACTAATGACTTTGTGACCCAATGTAGGTTAAGCTCTATGCCAGGGCTATTCAATTTAAATTCTCAGGGCTAGAGTCCTGCAACTTTTAGATTTGTCTCTGCTTCAATACACCTGAGTCAAATAATCATGTTGTTGGCAGGACTTTGGAGAACTTGATGACACACTGAATGCAATTCACCCATTTGATTTAGGTTTGCTGAACTTGGGAAACATCTAAAAGTTGCAGTACACTGGCCCTTGAGAACTGGAGATGATTACCCGTTCTCTAGACAATGGATGGATGGATGAAATCTGATGTTTGTTTGAAGTAGAATATTGGTGAAACCAATTCTGAGTGCTTGCAAGGGTGAGCCGTAACTGATCAATCAATCAAGTTTATTTGTATAGCACGTTTCAGCAACAAGGCAGTTAAAAGTGCTTTACATCATAAAACATTAGAAGGTCATGCTACTTTACAGAAAAAGTTAGGTTGTCTTCGCCAACAAGTTTAAGCTAAATTAATTAGATTTAGTTATGATTCTGGGAATATAGAAGACCTAATCTTTATTATTCTTTATACCTTAAGACTTTATTGGGACACCTTCATGGTCATTTGGATACAGTGATACACATTTGAAGTGATTCCATTTTATTTTTATACTTTACCATGTCAAATGGAGTGAGAAATAGGACACAGATCTACAGCATGCATTTTGATAACTGACAGAACAATTTGAAATTCTGAAAATAACCTTTTAAATCTGGAACAATGTATTTGCCGCATTATTTTTTCTTATTAACTCTTTCCTCTCTACTAACAATTTATCAGCTTACTATTTATATAATTATCATCCATTTTGCATGCATGCATATCCCAAATACCCATACCTTCAGCAACCAGGTTGTGAGCCTAAAAGAAGGTGACAGGAGGGCCCAATGCAGAGAGAGATTACTGCCACTGATGGCCTAGACAGTGACTGCACAGGATGAGAGGAATGTGGAAGAGAGCGTGTGTGTGAGGATGTCAGCAAATACACCCTAGGGGAGGGAGGGAAGGACAGAGATAGAGAGAGAGAAAGAGAGAGAGAGAGATGCACGCACAGAGGAGAACTAAACTTAGATGCTATAAAGATAGTGAGCCATTGCCAGAGCTGTACCGGCAGCATGGAGACGGATCCTCTAAATCTCTGGAACACCATTTTTTTAGTTACACTATCTGGATTGACAACAAAACTAATTTTGAACGTAGCTGGTTCATGACAGGAATTCAACTTGTTTGGAACTGAAATTGAACAATCAAGTTTCCAGGAACGAACTGGTCCTTTCTAACTGTGGGACTATTTGACAGCAAGATTTTTAAAAAAGGAAGACTTGAATCAGAAAAGACTGAGCTAATGCTGCCACAAACTCACCTGGCTGGGAACCTGTGAAAAGAGACAACCTGGCTATTATCACAATGAATATGAATAACAGAAGTGAAAAGGTTTCATTTTGCTTTCAAAAACAGATCTGCAAGGACAAAGACAACCTAAGAAGGACAGAAGACAGGCTCATGAAGACCAAGCTGGACAAAAGGAACTTGTTCTTCCTTTATTTGGGTTGGGTACACCTTAGTACTAAAACTATCTGAAATTTTGCAACACAAAGACTAAATAGAAGAGAGAGCAGACTATTATGTGTTCAATTTACCTAGAGTATAAGACCACTGGGATTCTGGGAAGGACTTCCAAAGGTGACGAGTTGTGTCGGCTTTAGATTCTGAAACTTTGTATTTTCTAATATCGCTTATAAATTGTTTACCGCACAGACCTTATATATTCAGATGAACGTGCAGGTGCTATGCTGAGGGGATTGGGTGTTGCTCCAGCCCCACCAGGCCACAAGTGGAAATTTCACTGTTCTGTTGGGGTGGACTGTAGTAACGCTGAACCCTGCTGCATTTGGCTGGCAGTTCTGAGGGTGGTGTCCAATCACACATCACTTCATCCAACAGCAGTAACACCGACAAGAAGAACTGGTTCCCGGATCAAAAATCACCATCACTTGTCTTCGGTAAAAGAATTTGCTAACATTCAATACAGTCAACTGATCAATTCTGGCAAATAGAGATACCATTTAAGTTACTATTTAGGTCTCAGCACGGTCGGGCCAAAGTCGAATTGTTGACATGCAGTCATGTGGTCATGTGGTTTTTGGATGTTAATTTTTACACAGACGTGACTTACCAAGCCCAGGTCCTTTGGAATCCCTCCTGCTGCAGTGTACAGCATGGTGTTTTGTCATGTGTGGTTCACAAGAGTAGAGTAAACACTGCATTCATGGCAGAGAGGATACACGATAGACACGTTCACATGTTCAGAGTAGGAGGAAATAATGATTGATGAGCCCCAAAATCTCCTTTTATTCTCCATGTTACTAGAAAAAAAAATTCAAGGTGTTGAGTCCTTCTCCAGATGCATCGGATCACAAGCAGCATGGGATGTTTTATGTTTCAGTACATGCTTCCTCACAGTCTTGGACAATTGTCTCAAAACTACCCAAGTTTCTCTGTGGTAAAAAAAACCGGCTTCTGGAAGTTGTGCAGTTGGGCTTTTTCCGCATAAATGAATACACCCACGCAATTCAGACCAGTCACACAATGGTGAGGGGGAGAAATGTTCACCAGGGGAGTTGTAATAAGGGGTGGACAACATAAGGCTGAAAACAAAATGACATGATTTTTGTCACACAGCTGCGACAATGAAAGCTGATTTTGGCACTTCGGCTCGACCGTGCACAGCTCTTATGTCATCAAATAACTTCTCTTTTTGTTATTAGTGGTAGTGTTGCTGCTTCTGTTGTTGCTGGCTGTGATTTTGCTGTAGATGTTGCAACTGCTGCTGTTGCTGGTGGTATTCCACTTGCTATTGAAGATGTTGTTTTAGTCGGTGGTGACTTTTTTTTATGTAGAAATTGTCATTAGGACCAGGGGCGCGGTAAAGGGGTGAAAAGTGATGACTTTTATAGGGGCCCTGACCAACAGGGGGCCCTCCACAA